ATATACTCTCTTTTGGGACCTTGTAACCATTTTTGACTTAAAGCCTATTTGTCTAATATCATAATAGCAACCTCTAGTCTCTTTTGGTTGCTATTTTTACAGATCCACAAGCAAACTTTCACTTTCTACCTATTTGTGTTCTTAGACCTCAAGTGTCTCTTGTGGGCAGTAAATAGTTGGGCCACATAGAAGACAGTAGATGGTTTAATGCATCCTGTCACTCTGTGTTTGACTTAGATGTTATATTTAACTTAGCAACTACAAAAATATTTTGGCCTTGGGATTGTTTTCTCTATGTCTTACAAATGCTCTCTTTGTCTCTCATTTTCTCTATTGTCATTTCCTTTTCCATTTACGTGATTTCTTGTAACAAAATGTTTGGGTTACCTTTCTGTCTCCTGTGAGTGTTCACAGAGCCTTAAAAACATGAAATTCATGTTTTGTCCTAAAGTTTTCAGAATCCATTTTAAAATAATAACTTCAATTGAAAATAACTTTAATTGAAAACGTGGGTTCTCTCAATAGAGACGGAAGAAAGTGTACGTGAGCATTGTTCAACCTGTGCAGCAATTGTTTATGCATGAAATCCTGAAGAAATAAAACCGAGCTAGCTTTGCTGTCGTTCCAAATTGAAGAGTTTATGGACTGCGTGTGTGGTAGTTCGGTGGGAGGCACTGCATTTCTAGGTGGAGGGGCTGAGCTGAGACAGGCTGAGCTCTACTCCACAGCGTCTTCAGGAAGTGCAGAGCCCATTTGGTCTTCTGTGAGGGCTCCCTGAAGAGAGCGATGTCGAGACTCTTAGGTAACGGATGGACAGGCTGATTCAGAAACAAGTTTGGAACCAAAAAGTATATAAAAATTTCAAAGGAGGCCATGCTTGCCGGAAGAGTTTCTGTCCATTTCCTAGCAGAGTTAGCAAGTTTATTAAGGGGAAAGAACAGAGACTGAAGCAAATCCCAATTGTGCTGAAAGTAGACAATTTCTGAAGAAGTCACCCAGCAGAAATCACATATCCAAAAGTACAGAGGCGCTGGGGTCGGGGAGATGGCCCAGTGGCTAAGCGTGCTAACTGTTGTTGGTGAGGACCTGGGTTTGATTCCCGGCATCTATATGGTAGCTTGTGACCATGTGTAACTCTAGTTCCACGCCATCTGATGGTCTTTCTCTTCTCCACAGGCACAAGACATGCATGTGGTTCACCTTAAAACAGGTCACACACATAAAGCAAATCTTTTTTGTTGTTTTTTTTTAAGTACAAAGGAGGTACCATGGCATAAAACATGAAGGATAGGTCAACTCTGCCATTGTGTGGCAACACCACAGAATGAATACATGTATGTATGTATGTGTGTATGCAGTTGTAGTTATCAGAGCAAAGAACCATGAGACCCTGAAAAACAAAAACAAAGTCATCTGCCCTTATTGTAACAAGCTCAGGAAACACAGACGTCAGCCATCTTGTTTATGGTTTATAAGGTTGTACATACACTTTACCATAAAAAAACAGGATAATACTTCAAAGAGCAAAGCTTCATAATTTAAAGTCTTGTTAATAATAAAGTGCCCTTCCAGCCATCCTGAACCAGTTGGCTATGAAAATGAAAATGTTAAGGTTGTATTTTCCCACCGGGATGAACTCGGAGCCAGTAGGCCAGGGAAATACTTGGCTTTTGAATGCTCCTACTCATTATCATACTTATCTGGTTGGCCATTGATACAGATCCTGATCTGGACATGATGCAGACCTTCTAGTCACTCCCTGCTGCTGATGCAGTGATATCCATCAAAGCTGCTATGGATGAAGAAAAGCGAGAAACTGGGAATGCCTTAGGGATACGGGGGTTAAGTCGTGAATGAATTTATGGTTTTCCTGGGGATTGGCAGGAAAGTGAGAAAAATAATTCACATAGCCAGTAGAGTTGGTGAAGGAGTCACAGATGTGCCTGAGATGTGGACAGGCATATCAAATGCCACCATGAGTTAATGCTTGATGAAAATTGATGGGAAGAACCCATGGACTCATCCACAGAGGAAGGAGAAGTTGATGCAGATCCTGCAGTGTGGACGTGGTCCCATGTTCCAAAGCATTTCCCACTGGACAGACAGAGTAGGGAAAAGTGGAGGAGTGTTATCCTCTCTAGACTACAAATCCAATCTTGCCCAAAGAATGAAGGGTTACAACAATCAGAGCATCTGATGAACTAAAGAGAGAAAACAGCTTCCAGTCTGATGTTCCCAAAAGGGTTTTGATGGATACCTATGAATTGGAGCCTTGGATCGTTGATGCTGTCATTTCTGGATGTCTAGACATCAGCACTGTCTCAACTTAATCATGGATCAACATTAACAACAAAGATTTCCTTCACATACACCTTCAGGTTATAACCTTTTGTAGACCAGCAGCACAGTCCATTCACCTCAGGTCCTCTGGTTGCATTGCACCAAATTTACCTCATCTCTGTGCAGCAACTGTGAGAAGTGTTAGATGTTTAAAGAAAGGGGGTGATATTCAATTAACTTGGCCATGTGTGTGTTCTGTCATCAGATATGGCTAATATTCTACTGTGCCTAGAATAAATGTCATCATAAGCGTGTTAGCTGTGGAAAATAGTATATCTAGGGTCCAGCATGACGTTAAGGCATCAGTGGAGGACTTGAGATGTATCCCCCACATATAAGGAAGGGACACTGTGGATTTTAATTGATAAGAAAGCTCGCAATTAAATAGGGGCAGTGACCTGATTAAGCTTCGGTGTCTCGGAGCCAATTACTGTGCTGACAACATTTAGTAGAGGCTGTAAGTGCCACACAAGGGTAAAGGAGGCTCCTGAAGCTGGGTGCACTTGGTAGGCTGAGGTAAGAAGACTGCAAATTCGAGGCCAGACACTCTGTCCAAGAACTCAATGGCTGGGTCTGTACCTCCGTGGTGGGAAGCTTGCCTAGCCCGTGTGAAATCCTGACCTCCCTGGTGGGGAGCTCGCCCAGCTTGTGTAAAGTTCTGGGTTTGATGCCCAAAACCAGAAGAGTGGTTGCATGAAGCAACCAAGCAGACTCACTCCTGGGATGGCTGAGGGTGATTAGAATGGGTCGGTGATGGTGGATGGAGAAGAATAGAGCCAAGGTTGGATTCGGAGGGGACGCCTTCCTTAGCTGGCAGAGGTAGTGCTTACGTAATGGGCATTTTGAGAGGCTGCTGGACTACATTTTATTTGTTTCCCTCCATCTTTCCCTTCCTCCCTTCTCTTCCATATGCAAGACTAGCCTCATGCTCGCTAAGTAGCCTGGGTAACCCCTGCCCCAGAGTATTGAGGTTGCTGTGAGCTACCACACTTGTTATTTCACTCATTTCGTAGATCCCATAAGACAGTGCGATGCGTTGCTATGTAACACAAACCGTGAAACTTAGAGGCGATGTCCACACCTCTACCCATCTGCCACCTGCCCCAACCCAATGGTTTTTCCCTTAGGGGGGCACCGCGGATACTGTCTTGAAGTATATCCTTTTTGGTCTTGTTCCTTCTGTGTACACTCTGAGCAACAAACAGTATCAAGTTTTAGCATATTTGGCACTCTCTAGCTGTTTTTTTCTAATATAGCCAACACAGCGAGGTTTTTCTAACTTAGTCATAGTTACTTGATGCTTTTGACTGCTGCTCTGTATTCCAAAGTACAGATAGCCTCCTTCTGTCTCCTGTGATGGATATTTAGTTTTGTTCCCCCAATTTCTCGTTTCAAGTTAACAAGTCTGCAAAGTAAATGCTTCTACATATATTCTTCTAAGTTACCTCTTTTCTCCCTGAGGGTGGTCACTGGAAAATGGGATTTGAATCCTGTGTCAGCAGCTCTTTCCATCCCTCTGCCCAGATGTTGGAGTTCTATGTAGTATAGGAGTCCCCTCAGCCCGAGCTCTCATCAGCGCTGGATTGGATCCAGATTATTTTCTCATTTATAAGCATCATATTATGGTGTTTATTTACCATTGTCTAATACTGGGTGGCTCTGCATGGTTTCATTGCCTTCTGTGTTCCTGCCAACTGCTTTTAACCTTCCCCTCGATAGTCTTTTCTGCTGTGTCTTTCCTTACGAATCTGTAGGAGTTAAACATATTCTATACCCTAATCATTCCTTTGCTTTATACCACTGCTACCTTCTCCAACGTCCTGCCTGTCTTTTCCTCACGATGGGTTATTAACCTTTTGTGGGTTCACATTTGCCAAGTTTGTCAGTCTTCCCCTTACTGGATGACGCTTGCGGGGGTTTCGGAAAAGTTTTGTTGGTCGTGTCATCTGTAATCTGTAAAGTTTGATTTGAAGTGTCAGTGGGAAACTCATGCAACGTAAGCTCAAGAGCAGATAGCTATTTCAGAATGGAGCTGAATTCAAATCTTTCGCTGGAGATACAAAGTGGGGTTCCCAGAGTGGAGGGGGGTTTGCAAGCAGAGGTCTCACAACACCCACAGAGTATGCAATGTCAGTGGGACTCCACCGAACAGCAGCAGTTTTGACGGCGATATGAGTTCGTCACAGGCAGACTGGGACAAATATGGATACTCTGTCCTAGTTTGGATGCCTACTGGCTTGACAAGCATCTGGTATATTAATTTATAGAGGAGAGATGGATTCTTGAAGAAAAGCCTCACTCCCAATCGTCACTGAAACTGAAAAATGTTGAGGGTGAGCAGGGATGACAGGAGTGAAATCCAGTATGGCCAAGGAAAAAGCTGGGGACAGAGAGAATCAGAAGTAGTTAAATTGGGAGGGTTGGAGTGGTGTGTCTCTGAGCAGGCACAGCAAGCTGATAGGTCAGCTGAGAGAGACCAGGTACCAGCAGGTCATCTCTAAGTAATGGCAGTCTTGACTGACAGCCCCAGTGGCAATTGCTTGACAACCCAGACATTGGTTTTGTGGGGGACTTAAGGAGTTAGGTTCACACCCATATGTTGTGGGGGACTTAAGGAGTTAGGTTCACACCCATGCTAATGAAACACAAGCATTCACATGTTGCAGACAAAGTAAAATTTATTGAGACAGACAGAACTGCGCCTACTCAGGACTACAGGTAAGCGTTTGCTATTAACCAAAGAGTTGTGTTCACATTCCAGAAAAGTCTACATGGAAAAGCATTCAGAGTACTGGGTTTTCTACGTCACTATTTCACCTACAATAGGGACAACAAACTGACACTCTGGAGTTGATGGGCTTTTGTTACGAGGCTACACATTGAACAGGGACGAACATCAGTGACTGAGAAAAGGTGTAAAAAGACCAAAACCACCCATTGTAGAAAGGGCTCTTGGATGTTACCGTACAGTGTGGTCAAGGTAAAACCAAAGCAGACCCAACGCCAATGGCATTGTGGGACGAGCAGAGGGCGGACCTGGACAGACGAGTCATCACTTCTGGTATAGGTAGGTGTGTGGACATGAAGGGAGGAGCTGAGAGAAAGCCATGTGAAGGCATCCCCATGCTAAGAATAGCTGTAGAAACCGAACACTTTAATACGGCAGACAGTGAACCATGGGGCAGAGAATTCTGGGGTTTAAATCGGATGCCATGGAAATGGTGTTAAATAACTGTTTGTAGAATTAGAGTAACAGTATCAGCTGAAGATTTCTAATGTAAGTCAGCAAGGATTCAACTCAGTACCCGCCTAAACGAGGGGCTAGTTATCACAGTAGCATTTGCCTTAAAAGCATCGTATGATGCTCGGAATTGTTATTGGAATTGAATTATTGGAATTAAAGGCTTCCTTCCAAACAGGACAAGGGAAGTTTTATGTCTCAGGAGAAGGTAGCACAAAGTCTGATTTTAAGTACTATTACAAATAACTGTCTTTAAAACCCAGTGCAGGGCATAGGAAGTGGCAAGGGTACTGCTTTGTTGACGTGGGCCCCAGACGTAGGAGGGCTTTTGATTTAATATTTTAATGAATCAAAACATCTTCTTGGGATGTCTCTGGAAATGATATCTCATTACCTTCCTGGGAATTGCCTATCGAGCACTCTTCTCCACCATCAAGATAATGTTAAGGAGCTCTAAGTGTCATCTTAATGTGACACTTGTCATACGATAATTAGACAAAATAAGTGGTTCCTTGGGTTCCTAGAAGTTTCTTGAAGAGAAATCAATTTGTCGATAGTTAACTTGTCCTCTTGTGCATTCTTTTCCAAGCTCAAAGGAAATAATAACAATGGTTTATGTTGGTGGCCTAAACTGGGATTCCTTGTTTGTCTTTTTAATGTATTCTATTACTGTTTAGTGGTGACTGAGCACCTGTTTTCTAATTATGATCTAAATTATGACCAGTTTTGAGAGTGAGGTAAAACAAAACAAACCATGGGACTGGGAAGGATGTCACTGAGATTCCAAAACTGAGCAAGCCTTGTCTCCACGGCAGGAAGCACACAGACGCTCGGCATCCGGCGGTACTGGTGTCTACCAGGCCAAGGTATCAGACGGCACCATGCCTCTTCCGTTTCCCATGTGAGAAGAACACATGGGCCAGTGTAACCTTGTCCGTCCTGTTCAAGGAGGGAGATGTTAATCGAAGGAGGCTTACTACACACAGAAGGCCAGTTTGGGAGTTAGAGACTGGTTTGACCAAATAGACTTCTCGCCTGAGTTAGTGGATCTGTCATGTGGACTGGCTAAAACTCATCAGGGAAGGCAAGGGTAAAAAGATCGTGCTGGCAGGCTGTGGCTGGTTAGGGCAAAACAGAAATGGTTTCTGATGAGGCATGGCTGCTTAGGGCAACTGGGCTAGGTAGGAATGAAGCAGGCAGAGCTTGGGGAACTGGCCCTGACCTGAATGGGGCTGCACTGAGGTCTACTCTTTGGTACTTGTGTGAAAGAAATCTGGAAGAATGTAGAGATGGTGTCATTACTGAAACTAAAGGCCAATAATAAACTTAGGGAGCAAACAGAGGTAAAACTGCTTCCGTGGTGTCCCAACACACTCGGCATGTGTCTGAGGGGAGGTTGCTGGCTCCTTGGCTAGCTTCTTGTGCTACTGTGAGCTTTTCTAGGCCTCCATTGGGGTTAAGTAATGAGTGAGAAAAAGAACCCTTTAGAGCCTTTTTCCCCTCATCATGATTTGTAGATAGAAAGGGGGAAAAGGAACCCTAATTTTTTCCAAGGACTACCATGATGCTGTCTTCTGGAGGGCAGGAGTCCGGGAGGAATGCCTTAGAAAAAGCCCTTGTGTGTGTGCCATGGGTGGATATGCTGCATCCTGAGGGAAGCGTTGAGCTAAAATAAAGAAATGGCTTGTGAAGCTGCCCAAGTGGGGAGTTGCATGGCTTCTGTGGGGGAGGGGCAGAGGGGAGGGGCAGTTTAGGCAAACAGAGGCTTATCCAAACCAAAAAGGCCGCTAGTCACTCCGCGACTGCATAGAGTAGTCTCTCCGGCCTGCAGGCCACGCACGCACGCCAAGCGCTGTCACCAGACACGCAGCTGAGGGGTGTGTACTGAAGTCAGGCAAGCACAGACACCTGTTTGGGGGTGTGTGTAAGGGGGGAGGAGCCTCAAGACCTTACTTCTCAAGAAAGAAAGTGAACTCCTCCAAAGGGACTTCGACTGAATTGAGGCTGTCATTTGTAGGAAGCCAGACACAGTGACATGAAAATTAATTTTCAGTAATAAACACCAGAGGGCGGTGGGACAGAAGGAAAAGGGACAGTGTGGTGTGTTTCCCACAACATCTACGGGACACAGGAGAAGCACTTAGACACCATAAGGCTGGGAACCATGCTGTGATAACCACCAATGTGGGTATCCGGAGAGGGTCTTTGACGTTTGAGAGGGTGGGGGCTCCCCGCACTGTTGGGTTCCACGTAAATCACATGCTAGTTGCAAAAACCTTACGGGAGAGAAGGAGTTTTTACTCAAGTCATCCGTTCTCCCGTCCGACGGAAATAGAAACAAGAACAACATTCTTTCTCCCACACAACCGTATGCAGATTGGGAACGCTCTGGGTGGGAAGGGGGTCTTCCAAACCTTAACCCTGGTACAGAGAGCAACGGCGGAGAAGAGACCCCGCGGGGGGCCTTGGAGTCTTAGATACAAATGCAGGCGAAGGAAGCGACTTGCAAATCTGTGCCAGAAGTGCGTCCTCTTCCCGTGGACGCTACCATATGTAGCCAGCCTCCTCGTCTTTGTCATCGTCTCCGTCCTCGTCGTCCTCTCTCACAGCCCGGGTGTGCACCCTTGGCTTCCCCTCTCGGTCCTTTGGTCCCAGCTCTCGCTCATCCTCCAGATCATCTAGCAGGACCACGGAGCCACCGCTGCCGAAGTCCCCGGAGGTCTCCTGCTCTTCTTCTGGCACAGGAAGGAAAGACCTCGGGTTAGCTCCTACTGTCCCTCAAGGCCCATGCAGGCTCCCTATGATCGTGATGAGTTGTAGGGTTAAAACCAGGGCATTTAACTTCTGCAGTGTGGGAGCTCAGCTCCAGTCTCCAGGGCTTAGGCCCTGTGAACTGCTCTGATGGAAACCTGTCCTGGTTAATGTCTTGTCAACTTGACACATTTGGGAAGAAAAACCTCCACTGAGAAAATTCCTCTATCAGGTTGCCTGTTGTCAATCTGTGGGACATTTCCTAGATCAATGATTGATGGGAGAGACCCAGCCCATCGTGGGTGGGCTGTGTAAGTAAGCAGGCTGAGCAAGCCATGGGGAGTGAGAAGGAAAGGAGCATTCCTCCTGGCTTCTGCGTCAGTCTCTACCTCCAGGTTAATCCCCTGCTCCTGCCCTCCCAATACGCCCTCTCCTCCCCAGGTTACTTTTGAGCATGGTCCTTATGACAGCAAGAGAAAGCAAACTAGTCAGGGGCCCAATCTGTTAGGGAAGTCCTGTGTATATGTCAGTAAAGCACTGTTGGCCAATAGGGAAGCAAGATAGGTGGGACTAGGAATCCAGGAGGACTCTGGGTAGGAGAAACACAGAGAGTCAACATGTAACCGCCATAGGGATAAGAAGCCCGGAAAGTTCTCCGGTAAGAGAAATACTTAGATTAACAATTATGGGATAAATACTTAAGTCAGAGCTAGCCAGTAAGAAACAAGCAAGGCCAATAGCTTCATAATTAATACAGCGTCTTGTGTGTTATTTGGGGACTACAATGAGGCAGAGCCCAGGAGACTGGCGGGGGATAAACCAAAGCTGCTGGCAAGGAAAAGGCTTCTCTTTACACCAATCCTAAGTGCTTTACCGGTAATAGTCCCCTGACTCAAAAACTCTGTCCACCCAGTGGTGTTGGTATCTGCTTTGCAAGAGGTCAAGGAATTCCAGCCGTTCTGTCTCCAAGGTAGACTCACTATGGCCAGAGTTGGCTCTTGAGATTCTTCTGTGATCCCCACACAGCCAGGACCCCTGGGCCAGCCAGGGCTGGGGCAGGAGGCCTTACTCACCGCAGCTCACAGTGCCCTGCTTCCTGGAGCCAGCCAGTTCGTTCCCGTATTTATCCACACACCAGCACTGCCCCGTGCTGCCGTGACACTGTGTGGCTTTGTAGTAGCCCTCCTCATTACACCGAGGTATGAATGCCCCTGTGGGAACCAAAGGGCCAGTTTAAGTCAGAGAAAAAGCATAGAGGCTCTGAGTTGACGCCATTTAAGACAGGGAGGAGGGCCTTCATGTAAGCCAAAGATCTGCTGTGGGGCTGGCAGGGGAGAATGGGGCTGGTTGGTTACTATTTTGTAAACGTTATAGGGACCTCAGCCTTGAAGAGGAGGTACACACTGGACTCCAGGAAGCTCATTCCCCAGTTAGACTTGATAATAGCCAGCAGTATTGAATAGCTATACATATCCTGGGCACTGACCGAAACCATGTACATTATATATGGAAATGTGTTCACATAACCTGTTTCCTTTGAACAAATGTAGGATGAGGGGTTTTGATGAATTTCATGTTTTTGTTCAAGTATGCTTGTGATGAAAATTTTGAGTCTGATCATTAATCTTCATTATCAACTTGATTGGATTCACATTAGTAGAGCCCATCTCTGAGAGGTGTCTTTGAGGGCATGACCTAATCAATGGGTTAATCCCTGTATGGATTCATAACAGGCTGGCATTATTGGAAGTACAGCAGGGTAGAAAAAGACATGAACAATTAAGGGGGCATGGGATGGCTAAGGAGCTGCTCTCTCCAGAGTCTGACCGAAGCCTCAGGACAGTTGAGAGTAAAGAATTCCACCACAATTAATAGTTTCTGTCAAGACTGCCCACAGAGCAACGGCACTCCTTCTGTACTGAAATTCTCAAATATGTATTTTAAAATAAAAGCAAACCATGATGCCTCTTTCAGATATTTTCTGAGATGCTCATTTTTTCTGAGATGCTCATTTGACAGGGCTCTGAGTTTCTCATGTGCTTCTTGTGGCGTCGGGTTTTACCTGCTCAGCTGGAATCCTTCTGGCCTACCTCAGGAGCCACCCTGGGATCTCGCTTAGAGTCCTAGCAACCCTTTGGAGACGTAGCTTCGGGACCCACCAAAACTGTAACTTCGGCTGCTGCAAAGACGGTTAAGTGCCACCCTCCTTGGGGGAGCCCACGTCTGGACGAGGTGTGCGTCTTTTCCCCCCGAGTGCCTCTCTATCAACGGGGCATCACGCTTAAGTCTGCGCTTAAGATAACTTGTTCATAAACCTCAGCTTTGTTACGTACTGGCTAGCCCCCAGCATCCCTTCTTTGGTGAGGTCAGGGGAGGGGTCTGGCATTACCTGAGTGGAAGTCCCTAAAGAAAAAAGAAATTCGCCGGGTTGTTGGTGGCCATGCAGGGCCCCATCCGTTCTTGGGCTTCTGCCAGCGCGAGTGGATGAGAGGTAGGAGGCGGGGTGCAGTTAGGGAAAGCATGTCACTGGGGGCATGCAAGCCTCTTGCGTTTCCTTGGTGTAAACTGCCCTGCCATGATGGGCTGACATCCCCAAAACTGAGAGCGGGAATGAGCATTTCATCCTTTGAGTGGCTCGCCCAGGGGTTCTGTCACAGTGATGAGATGTTAAGCTCATTGTTTTCTTTGGATCATTTTGCAGCTCTGTCTCACAGTTTGGTCCACAAGCCAGCAAAATAATCTTGGACCCCTTTAGAAATGACTTGTTTTTTATTCTGGCTCTGAGTCAAAAGTTGATCTTGATTTTTCTTTTTAAAAGAATTCATTTGTGTTTATCATGCATACACGTGTGTGTGCATGTGCCTGTGTGTATATTTATGAGCTGTGTGCATGAAGTTCTCACGGAGGCCAGAAGGAGGCATCAGAGCCCCTGGAACTGGAGTTATATAGACAGTTGTGAGCTACCACCTGGGTGCCGGGAACTGAATCTGGGTCTTCTGCAAGAGCAGCTAGTGCTCTTAACCTGGAGTCATCTCTTCAGCGCCCCTTCCCCCGCCGGAGTCAAATTTGAGGCCCAGAAATGCCTTCTGTCTATCCTGAGATTGCTCACTTTTAACTTAGGACCTTTTGCCTCGTGCTGTCAAGCTTTCTCTTTCTCTTTAGCTTGCTGAACGAGACCAGCCCTTTCTGACGTGCTGCTGTCGGCACTCCTTATTTCACTGGTCCATTCCTTAATCACTTTGGGTTATTGCGTTCTTGGGGTTTTGAGTTGAAATTCTAGTTCTGCTCATTATCTTTGATAATGTGTTTGAAGTCTTGTGTGCTTTTATGGGCTTCACTTTGTTTCTGTGGAGTTTGGTGTTAGCCCTTTCATATTTTCATTCATTTCAAAATACTCTCTAGATTTTAATTTAATTCCTTGACATCTTTTTTTTTCTCACTGTCTGGGCTAGTGAGTTTGAGATGTGATTGTTAAAAGTGTGTTTTGTCTGTGGGGCTGCCCGTGACAGGTGTGTCATGCAACTCTGCATGACTGCATATGTAAATATGAATGTGAATCACATTGTTCAATTATTCTCTATCCAATTTGTGTCTACTTGAATTGCATTATTTGTGAAAGCCTCTTACATTTAGTCTTAAAGTAATGAGTACACCGACAGGCAATGACGTGTCTTACTTTTTAGAAGGCAAGGTATTGGCCTTCCCAGATGTTATCTATCATATTATAAAAAGCAGCACTTTCCATTTTCAGTTTTCTGTACAACCGTTCTAGGTGTAACTTTGAAAATACTTTAAAGCTACGATCAGCACTTCCTGTCTTACAATATGTCAGCCTGTCCCATGTGCACTGATGTGATCATGGACTACTCTTGTATTTCTGACACCACACCTGTGCCTTACATTTATCATGGTTCCTGTTTCCTGCCTCATATGGAAATCACCAGTTTTCAGTTCTGATATTATTGAGGGTTCCTGACACTCTGTATGGAGCAGCATAATGTTACAAACGAGGTCTCAAGTTAGTCCGTATTTTCTTTCTTCCTTGGCAAATCAGACATGTAGCACATTCAAGCATCCATGCATTTATTGTCCACAACAGTCTAGAATTTATCCTAGCTTGCCGTCAAAGTGTTTTCGGTGGTTTTGTTTTTGAAATAGGGTCTCAATGTGTAGTCTTGGCCAGCCTGGAACTTATTATATTGGACCCGGCTGACCTTGAACTCAGAGATCTGCTTGTCTCTGTCTCCGAAGTGCTGGCAATCAAAATGTTCTGTTGTTAGTTTAGATTTTTTTTTGCACAATTTCACATGGAATGTACTTGTATACATTATCTTAGATAGTTCAAGAATGTGACCATCACCTTGAATAATCTGGAATGAGTTTAAAATTCTAGGTTCAAAGTTATCTCCACTTGAGACACTATTGTTTTTTTTCTTTCTAAACTAGTGTTACCCATGGAAATCTGATGTCAATCTTACTCTCTTTAAAGGTAGGTCATCTTTATTCATGATTGAGTTTATCTTCTCTGCGGAATTGTCAGGGTGACCTAAGGAGCTACATCCTTACATTGTGAAGCAAAGGCCTCTGGTTACCACTGTGGCTTCTACTAAGTTTATTTCTGCTGTCTTTGTGGCATAACTGCTTTATAAAATTTAACTTTTTATTTCACAGAATGATACCCTCCCCAAATGTATCATAGGAGCCAGTAAAGTTAGATATAGGCTCTACTTGATATGTTTTTCCTTAGATTTAATTCATTTTGTCAGCACAGTACACGCGTGTCTGGTGCCTGTGGGGGTCAGAAGAGGGCTATGGATCCCCTGGGACTGCAGTTATGGATGGTCGTGAGCACTGTGTGGTATTTGAAATCAAACCCAGGCCCCCTACACGAGTGGCTACTGCTCTAACACCAGAGTCATCTGTCCAGGCTCCCAGAAGCTATCCCTGAGCATGGTGCTCACCAGGCTACTTCAGGATGACCGGGTTCAAGAGATCAAGTGAGACTTAGAAGGGGAAGTACTTTGAAAAGATAAGGTGGGTACCTAGGTGCTCAAGCTAACGTTAACACAGAGGCCTTAGTTTTCAGGGAGCTTAGAGGGAAAAGAGGATTAGATTTCTTTTCAGCCTCTCATTCAATGAAAAGGCAGGGAGCTCAGTGGAAGAGTTTCAGTCCAGGACTGACAAGGAAGAGAACAAGCAGAGATTGTGGGGAATGCTGGTCCTGCCCCCCCTCCCCGAACAGTGGTTAGAAACCACCGCACCTAATAGACCACAAAATAAATTAAAACTGGGCTGAGCCTTCAGGTTTGGTGAGAAGCAGGTGTTGTACTTAATCTATAATTTAATAAGATGACTGCTTTTTCTAAGTAGGTAGTAATTATAACTGATTATAATTTGTTGTTGCTCGTTTCGTTTATTTATTTGAATCTGAATATCCCTGAGCACACAGTTGTTATATTAGGAGATTTTTCTCCATGCAGGAAATAATTTGTAAGGAATATAGATGGCATTTGTACGGATCAGTATGAGTGAACTCGGAATGTGGGAGATTAGAGATAAGACACGTGTGATATGATAGCAGGAGAAAGGTGGGAAGTTGTTGGATCACAGGCATTGAGGAGCATGAAAATGAGACATGTCCAGTGGCAAATACACACACACACACACACACACACACACACACACACAGACACACACACAGACACACACACACACAGACAGACACTCACACACACACATACACACACACAGACACACACACACACAGACAGACACTCACACACACACATACACACACACACTCACACACACACAGACAGACACACACACACACACACAGACACACACACAGACACACACACACACAGACACACACACACACACACACACACACACACACATATATATATATATGTGTCATTAATGAATGATAACAAAGCCACCATTGCCATGGAGCTTTGAAAATACTGCAGTTGCATAAACCCCATGTAGACCGTGGGTATATCCCCCAACCTAAAACATTACCCTGTGTAGAAGAATACAGTGAGTAGCCAGCATTCACAGAATCCTTGGGGACAGTGTGCCCATCCTCAAAGCAAACAGATTACCTTCTGAAACGGTGGGTACTTCGGGAGTGCACATGCCTCTGGATGGTCGACGGGAGTAATTCTGAATTACTGTTTTTAACAGGGAGGGAGAGCAGGTTCCCTTTTCATCAAACGTGATTTGCCAGTGTGCCGATAATGAGCACCCCACGCCCCCTCCCCATCCTGGAGCTAAGAGGGAGCCGGTACTCCTGTAGCTGACCTACTTCTGCCTTAAACCTCAAGGAGAAGGCAGCAGTGTCTAAATAGGTGGGAGGCTTCCACCCTGAGAGGCACACACATGCCCTCCGACCCCATCCAATACATTCTAGCAGGGTCACAACCTGTCTTGTTCCTTAAATGGACAACTGGCCCTGGGGAAGAGACGAAATAGCCTAACTGAAAAGCCTTTCACTTTGAGAGCTGGGAAAATACTCATGCGCTCCATTCGATGGCTTTATTTGACAGGGAGAAACCCAAGAGTTAAGTGTAGCCAGCATCAGAGGGAGAGTTGTATGGAGAGCATGGCCGAGCTGCCTGCTGGCCCTGGCCTGACCTCTGGCTTCTCTTGCCAGTAGAGGGCGTCCTCTATGGGCCAGCTGCTTGCACGAGCTCAGGCTGGGGGGGGGGCGGGATGAGGCACTTCTTCCACAAGACACTGCCCCTAATTGAATAAACACTGCAGAGCTGAACGCTACAAGAGATGCGGATGGTTTAATTAGTTGTTCTAATGAGTGGCAAGGAATTGTACTTACCCAACAGGCTTTTCCCCTTGCTCAGCTTCTGAATTCTGTTCATTTCGTTCTGGCAAGGGAGACCTAGAGAATAATTTATGGCCGTCAGTTTCCAGATGGTACAGGATATAATCTCTAATGATTGACTGCACTCTTGATGGGGAAATGTTGGCAACGGCACACCTGGGTGTGGAGTTGCTCCATATGCTGTCGGCTGTGCAACAAAACAAATCCAGGCCATTAGTGTTACTAATTTTAAGGAAAGCTCCACATCTCAAGGCGCTTGAAAATAGCACATGGAGGCTACTTACATAATACGGGACTCTTCCTACCTACACCAAACCGAGCAACACCAGGTGATTGGCTGGAGCACCCTTTAGTTTACTCAGCAAAGTCCTCTGAGAGCTAAAAAGGCTGATGCTAAGGCTTACTAGAGGGCAAGAACTCTGAATATACAGACCAACTAGCCAGGGGTCATAATGCTTGACCTCCTGAAGTTCCCGTCTCATAGGAGAGAGGTTAGGAGCCCTCAGGCATGCCAAGGCAGTGAGCAAGCAATGCCATCCAGAGCCAGACTCCATCACAGCTCTTTCTGCCTCCCCAACACTCAGGACTCCCAACGTCCGTCCCTTCACCCAACACTTTCAGCCTCTGAGTCCTCACTTGAGGAATGCACGCTGTGTGGACAACCAGGAGGAAACTGCCGTGAAGGACAGACAGGGAGCTGCGTGGCGAAGTGCGTGGATGACAGGGCATGGGCCTGTGCGGTCTCCCTGGAGAAGAATTTACCACCAGGCAAAATGACAAAGGACCTCACTGGTATTTCATGGTTTGTCCGTGACTTGCCTTTGTCAGTCTTACGTGTTTGGCAGGTCCTGCCATCAGCTCAGCGTCCCCGTGGCACAGGAAGGAATTCTGCCCCTCTGCATTCTTTACACCAGCAGCCATCGCTGCTGCCCGGTGAGACAGGGGTGGGGGTTGCAAGATGTGTGTTTCTTACTTCATTCAGGGTAAAGAGAGACACGGAAGCAAATCCCGCTGTGAGAATGAAGGCTGGTAGTACTATAACAAACAGCTACCGTTTACTCAAGTGTTAGAATGTTCTAGCGCTTTTTAAAATCTTTCCAACCGCCATACAAGGCAGATACTTATTATCACTGTTTTGTAAATGGACATCATCACCCGTGGCAGAATAGAGACAGTTGGCATGCAGAAGGATGATGAGAGTGATGTTGCAGTTTTACCACGCTTCCTTTAAGTTTTCCTGCAATAGTTTTAAAAACAACTTATTTAAAGAAAGAAAGAAAAAATGAAACCGATGGAAATCTACTTAAATGCAGACAAGAACAAGACACACACGCAAATTTTTTTTTCATTTTTATAAAATGAAAAACCCACCCTGGAAATGATTTGCCGCTGAGGAGGTGACAGCAGGCAGCGCAGGGCTCGCTAAGTCAGGGACACTAATGAAAAAGTGAGCTGTGGAAGGGCAGAGCTCAGCACGCAGATGCGCGGACTCAAGGATGAGTGTGGCATGGGAAGAGACAAGTAGAAAATTGAAGAGAGGAAGTTCGCCTCCAAAGCCAGGAAATTTAGATGAAACAAAGACTAAACTTAACTGAAGAAAAGTTTCCTGGAAATGAGAGTCTAATTCTAGAGTTCTCAGCCATGCCGCACACAGAGCTGAGCTAAGGTGGCTTCTAGGAAATTAAGGTCCTTGAACAGAAAAAAGATTCCTGCATATGATGAGGGATGTCCTTCTGTATATATGTTTCTCTTTCTGATTGATGAATGGAAACACTTATTGGCCAATAGAGGCAGGGAGATAGGCGGGGGGCTAGGAGATGAGGAGAATTCTGAGAAAGGTAGGCAGAGAGGGAGACTGTGGAGACATGTCATGTAGACGAGGAAGGAGTAACAGGTCTGGATCCTCCTCTGGTAAGATAAGACCATGTGGAAACACTTAGGTTAATAGAAATGGGTTAATAATTAAGACAGAGCTAGCCAGTAAAAAGCCCTAGCCATTTGCCAACAATTTTATAATATAGCATCTCTGTGTGCTTATTTGGGGCTGAGGGCAGTGGGACCTGGCAGAAAAGAAACTCCAGTTGCACTCATAGCTTCTTTTCTATTGCTTTTGGCCATGGTGCATCATCGGGGTGACTTAGAAAAGTCCAGGAGGCTGGAGTCCACTGGGATCTGGAAGGCATACCATGCAGACAGGAGCAAGAAGATTATTGATGACATCTCCCCTCTGCACAGGAGACCGAGAGAGGCATCGGGCAGTGGGGAGAAGCCCTGCCTTATAAAGGTTCCTCAAACTCTCTAAGCAGCATCACCAGCTGGGAACCAGTTGTTCAAATCCTAGAGTCTATGGGGACATTTCTCATTCAACCCAGAGCACATCCCACCAGCTTCCAGGCACAGTGGTTACATCACCCGTAAAAGAGAAGAAAAACTACAAAGGCTTCATGTTTCCAAGAAGAAAGCAGGACTATTTTCAAACATTTCTACTAGTTATCTTCTAGAAAGGCAACCTCCAAACACTTTGAGAAAAATCTTAGAAAACTAAAGCATCCATAAGACTGGAGAATACCACAATATCTCAGGTTTTTCTTGAGTCAGAGGTCAACGGAGCCTTAGCCATAAAATTACCAGACACCAACATGTAGTGTCTACTACAGCTCTGCTCTGGAGAAAACTCTGGATGTACTTAACAGTGACCTATAAATTCTAAGCGTGACACCCATCATCTTTAAGTTTCTTGAAGAAATAATGAAATATAACAAACAATAAGCAATAAGATGGAGATAAAAGGGAAATTAGGGAAATATTAAAAATGAAAAACAGTTTTTTCTCAGAACTAATCCTGGATGCTGTATCATTCCTAGGCACACCTAGGAGTCCTAACTTCTCCCCCCACCCCCATGCCAAAGGGGAGTCTAGCCAGAAATAGCCTTGTGGTCAAGTACATAACTCAGTACTTTGTGTAAGGCAATGAGTATACTCAGCACAGTGGGCGGGTCAGGCTCTGTGCCAAGAGCATTTTAGGCCAAAGTAAAACAATCGCTATTATTTAGCTCCAACCTGTGTTAGCTAATACAGTTACAGAGCAGAGAGAAATGAGGTACAAAGGGAAGGGGAAACAATGCGATTATATTTTAATATTTACAGAAAAGTTTATCAATGTTTGCACACAATGCAGTTTATACCCGAAAACACCAAGAGAGCCGAACAGAGCCACTGGAGAGAGAGAGAACTCAGTGAGGGAGCAGAAGGGAAAGAGGACTCGTTTACAGTCGCGCCATGACAGGGAACCGAGATGACCGCAGAACTGAAAACTCTTAACTCCACCAGCTATGAGGAGCCTCTGAGATAAAAGCGTTCAATATCATACAGTGGAGAGGAATTTTCAATACGTGGGGGAAATGCATCCTGAAGTTCAGGAGGGCAGAAAAGCAAGAGAGGCGAGACCTACAATAGACCAAAGCCTAGGGTTGATCAACTGTCACTTAAGTGGGATAGAATTGATTTATGGATATTTAGGAAAGCGGGCCTTAGTATTCAGGAATAAATCTAAGACACATGCATGTGTATCAGACATGCTATTGACAGAAGAGAGACTAGTCAATAAGTGACAAAAAAGGCAATGAGGTCATCATCTCCACGCTTGCGTAGAAGCTGAGGCCTCTAATGTGTGTACACATGGGTAGAGCAATGCAGACTTTGAACAAACAAAACCACCAAAGTTAGTAAAAGCATGAGAAAGTTGCTTTACCAGATTCAAGTGAAAAAATGCCCTTCAGAGCCTAATGCAAACGTTATGACTTATAAAAAGACATACAGTAAGAAAATGAAGACATGCAACTCTGTCAAAATGAAAAATTTTCCTCACTAATGAGAAAAACATACAAAGTCAAAGCCGGAAAAAAATAACCCTCTAGTACCCATCACTGGCCAAGCTCTGAGCTCATAGATACGCATTTTCCTATAGAAGACAAAACGCAACTCCAACAAGAAAAATGTACAAAAGCATATAGAGTTATTTCAAGGACACAGAAACTTAAGACTGTCCCAGTTACTTGGATTCGTTCATGACACACAGAATGAAGTCAGAGGGGAGCATGCGTTGTTTTGCCCCCCACTTTGGCAATGGTGGCTAGATCTGATAGTGCCATGAAGCTTTTTTTCTCTCATCAAAAGTATCTGACTCAGCTTCTTTGGAAGGCAGATTGGCAGCCGTGCTGAAGCGTGAAAGTGTGTGCTCTGGCCCTGGGGGTCCACCTGACAACCCCGTGAGTGTGCAAATGAAATTATTCTTCACCGAGAGCTCTCTGGAGTGTCTACATTCTGGGTGTGTGTCCCGGCATCTTTGTGCACATGCATAATACTGCCCAATTTAAATACTGTTAGTAGACAGACAGCCAGACTTCTGGTCCGCTGGGTACACCCCCCTCCCTCAGGAGGCAGAGACAGACGGGAAAGGCGAGCACGGAACAGCAGAGCCCGGACTCTGGATGGAGTACTGCACCAGGCTGGCTCGCTTGCCTAGACTTTGGGTGACAGGAGACACCTGATATCCCTATATTCCTTAGATATGGTGTGTCTTGTTAGCTGTAGTTTTGCTACAAGCAAACATATTATAATTAAGGAGAATTCATGTGACAATGGGAAATACGATCCTCTTGCATTTGTATAGTGTGTTTCACACTGAGGTGTGGTGACCAGTCCCCCATTTTAGCAGCCATGACAGACTAACATGTGCTTGCATGGCCTTGCGGCTCCTGTCCTGGTCACTAGGGGTCACATGCCCTCCTCGTGGTAAGGAACCAATCAGAAGTTAGCTGGCGGAGCTGTGCTTTAAGGACAGTGCACAACAGTGACATGCAGAGCATAGCAACCATCCTGGGAGGGCCTATGGGACATAACAACCAGTTGACCAATCAACACAGGGCGGGTCACCCAAACCTGGAAGCGCACCAATCCTGAGACTGTTTCATACCCCTAGACACTCCCCTTATGCTGCCCTTTAAGATCCCTGCCTCGAGGTTGCTTGGGGTCTTTCTCCAGCCATTCGCCATGGGGGCGGGGTGAAGGACCCCAGCTAATGGGGTTAGCTTGTTAAATATCTACAATAGAAGACTCTTTGCTTTTGCAATGAAATGGGCCTCTTGGTGATTTTGGGGTTCAGAATTTGGGCACAACAATGGTGACCTTGAGAACCGTGTGGTGAAGGTTTCTGTGCACCTGTTTTTTAGATGAAAATGCTAAGCATAGTAAGTAAGGATGCTTTTCTAAAAGGAAAGAATTACTCTGTGAAGAGAAACCACCATTTTATTCTTGGCTTCCTGAAATGCCATGTTAAAAGCAGACAGATGCCTTTGGGTTGCCTTTCCATAGGGTGGCCCTTGGTCATGTCTTTCTATACACAGATCTCTGGTGCCCTCGTGCCCACCTGACTTACCGCCTGGCTTCTGGAAGCAATAGCACCACTCGTTGTTGGAAAGTTTGCCATCCTTGAAGGAGTCACAGGAGTTGAAGAGCGGCTTGATACAGGGCTCGTACTTGTCTAGGTAGATGGCGTTGATCTCCGAGTGGTCCAGCAAGAGATCATAGTTCATGTCCAGCTTGTTGAACATCCAGCCCAGGGAGTCCTTGCAAATGGGCAGGATGCTGGTGTCAAACCCTGTGAGAGAGGGGGTACCTTAGCCTTCCAGGCAGGGAGCACACCCAGCTGTTCCCTAACCTGGTGCCCCCGAGGGGCCGGGATGCGCCCTACTGTGTCCTCCCTTCAGGGTTTTTCCTTTATACATGAGACATGTAAACATCCTAAAAGCAGGAGCCAGCCTTGGGGAAAACATCTTCAGAAAAGAAACCATTCCCTATGATAATGTGTCTGTGTTATAGGTAATGAGTCCTGTTGTCTATGAACCTGCTTGCAAGATGTGACTGAAAAGAGACCCACAAACACGCTAAAACGTAAACTGTATAATACTGAAACCTGAGCTGCAATTTTTAGGAAAAAAAATGAAAACTCAGAATGCTGGAGGGGGGGGAGACAATAGCAGGTGTGGGAGGCTCATCTATCCCAGAGGCTCCTTCAGCCCCTTCAGAGTCTGGAGGGCAGAACACCCCAGGTCCTGCCTCTGTTCCCTTCCTTCTTTCCTGCAATTCCCCCGAGGAGCCACAGAAGAGGGAATCCGGCTCAGAAAATCATTTCTTTCTTATTTCCCCAGGGAAGGGGGAGTTGTTTCCCTTAAAGGAGTCTTTGTTTCCGTGTGGAGACTGGAAATGCAGGAATGCTTGCACTCAGCTCCACACTCTGGAAGCCACAGGTCTATGGACAGACATCAGGCCCATCTTTCTCTCTCACTCAATGGATGACAAGATTCCAGCTTGTCCTAGGCACTGAGTCTGTAGGACTGGCTTTATTTTCCTAGGATAGCACAGATAAAAGTGTTTCTAAGCACTCTACACTTCATTATCTCACAGAACCCAAGTAGCAGTCTTTGAAATGACGTCATCTCTACCTTGTAGATGAATAGCAAGACCATGTGATTTCAGAATTAGAGTTGAAATCCAGGCAGCCCCGTCCAGATCTGGAGTCCCCACGCTGTCTCTCCCAGGCTCCCCTCTGCCTTCTTTGACACATCTGTCTTGAAAGCATCCAGCTGGCTTACGGTACCTTGTCTGGGATACGGTGTCTGCAGCATAGGGCTGTGATGAGATAGACTGTCCACGCCACGTTGTGGAATAGTTTTAGATGTGTTGCATTTGTTTATGCTGTGGAACATTTGTTTGATGATGCAAAGATGTGCTGCATTCTTTTATGTTGCATTTGTTTAACTGTGAAGCTGTGTTACTTTGCCTGTCTGAAACACCTGACTGGTCTAAATAAAGAACTGAATGTCCAATTGCTAGGCAGGAGAAAGGATAGGTGGTGCTGGCAGGCAGAAAGAATCCAGGAGTGAGAGTAGAGAGGACATCAGGAGTCAGCCAACCAGCTACACAGCAAGCCATGGAGTAAGAAGGAAAGAAAAGTATATAGGACAGAGAAAGATAAAAGCCCAGAGACAAAAGGTAGATGAGATAATTTAAGAAAAGCTGGCTAGAAGTAAGCCAAGCTAAGGCTGGGTATTCATAAGAAAGAGTGAGCCTCTGTGTGATTATTTGGGAGCTGGGTAGTGGGCCCCCAAAAGAGAAAAAGCTATAACTTCAGTGTCCCTACCCTTCTTGTACACCATGGGGAACCTTTGTTTAACGGGACTCTTGGAAGATGAAGCCACATGTTCCTTCTCTACAGAGGCCACAGCAACCTCCTGTGAGCATTCCTCACTGCTGATGCTCGCTAACCAGACAAGGAGCCCTCTGAGGGGAGACCTCCATCTTAAATAACCCCGGTACTTTCAACACATCCTATTAGTAAAAATATTTGTTTTCCAGCTATAGGGGTTTTTCTAGCCAGCTTTAAGTTTACCCTTTCACATAATTGTATCTATTCATTTTTGCTACCAAAGGATTAACATCCTTTAATTTTTTTCCACAAATGAGAGACTATGGGGTATGACATGGCCTCTGTTTGAATGACCTTCCTGATTTGTCAACCAGAAGAAATGCCAAGCTGTGTTGCTTAGTCAAAAGGTCAAGTCTGCACCTCCTATTGCTAGTTTCAGAAAAGGGCACCTGCACCTGGCAGTGACAGAGAGACAGACAGCGGGACTCAGAGCAAGGCTCCAGGGCTGCCCCTTCAGGACATTTGGCCTGACAAAAGTCTTGCTCTTTTCTCTGGCCTCACAGGACCAAAAACATCCTTCCTCTAAGGCTCCCCATTCCTACCCTGTGGCTTCAGGACATCAAACCTACAGTGCCTTTGGGGCCTCAGTTTACTCCTGGGTATACAAGTGTTTCCCAGGCTCCCACCTGTCTACTGAAAGGCTCAGAGGACCTGCTGAAGGCTTCAAGGAGGTTTCTTCCTAACAGCCTGCCTTCTTTCTGTGGAGAAGTTACTCTGAAAGCCAGGGGCTGGGCTGGTGTTGAGGGGACTCACAGACAAGCTCTTCTAGATGAAAATTAGTGCACACAAACTCCCAGGGAACCTCTGGGAGGAATGGGAAACAAAACAAAAAACCTCTCTAACCTCACCATCCTATAGACATGGCTACTAAGACCTCCCCACCCTGTAAGGGGCATTCTGAGAAGCAAGCAGTAATCTACCATTGAGGCAACAGAGTGAAACTGTTACACCTAGCAACTTTTCATTTATCTCCAGGGTATCACTAACAGAAGTTAAGGTCATTGCTTTTGTTCTTTGAGTCACCCTCTAGCCAGGTGGCTCAGGCCAGTCTATAACCTATCTTTAAATGATGCCTCCGCTTCAGCTGCCCTAACGTCTGGGTGGCAGAGTTGACAGTGATGTTTCACCTGCTGCCTTCAAGCAAAGAGCATTGCTTTCACAGTTCCATCCAAACGACTGCAGGCAGGAGGCTGGGTAAATACTTCGACCAGGCCCTCACAAATGCACACACAGCCAGGGTAGCTGTATTTGAAGGGTCAGGCGGATCGGGGAATCTCTACTGTAGTAGTTAGCACAACTACCTTGGAATTCAAAGCATGGTGAGGTGGAGTACAAGTGTGTGTGGCCTCTGCTCATCCAGAGTTCTAGGGAGTTTGAGTGTTAATGGAGAAGAAGTAGGAGGGGCACCTGTCTTGGGTTCTGGGGAAAGTTAAACACAGCTGCCCAGTATACACAAAAAAAACCATATTATCTACGCTGCTTGGTACACTGTTGCCTGTGTTAGCAAAAACCTAAATGTCCCAATTAAAGGCCCCTTAAGTTGTTGCAGCCATGATTAGGATCCTATTTGGCTCCTGCAAGAAACCACTCAATAACCTGAAAGCAAAATATTTCTAGGTGTGCAAATTTCCAGGTGGTATATTAACCTGTAAAGCGTACAAACTCCTCAACACACATGCATTTCCATGTACAACAAGGAAAAGGACTTCAGTGTAATACTGTGTGTATGTACATGTATTTACACACAACTTTTTTCTGTGTAGTATGTTTTCTATCTATATAAAACATGACCTCTTTGAAATCACATTTTTCCCCAAAATAAAAGATTCTAAACTATCCACTCTTTAATAACCTAATGTTTCTAAAACTGGGATGCGTTTTAATGGCTTTCTTTAGCCAACATGCACTGTTGCTAAACCCGTGTGCCTGACAACTGAGAAGAGATGCTTATAGTGCGATCGCAAGAGCAGAGTAGTCTTACTGCCTTGGGCTGCGTCGGAGCTGGTGGGCTTGATGACTCTGTTGGCGTCCTCGTGAAGGGCCCCGAACCAGTCCTTCAGCCGGGAAGCGAGGTCCCTCAGTTCCTTGTCTGTGCAGGCTGCAGGGAAACACACAGCAGATGGTGAGCACGGTCCTCTCCGCCATCCGTGTACACGTTCAGCGGCCGGGCTGCATTCAAGGCAGTCCTCCTTGCCCAGACACTCTGAACGGCCCCTCCCTGAGGAGCGCTACTGTCACAAGGCAGACATGAGACAAGGAAAGAGCTGGATTCCCAGGACAGATGGCTGTTCAGACTTGGACTGTCGCAGACCGAGCAAGCTGCAAGCACTTCACATTTGGGCAGCGTCCTCCAAGTCTGACTGACAGCCCTTTTGCCAAGCGCACAGAACTTGTTATTGCAACTTGCTAGAGAGCATGACACCTTCCAGTGTGCTCACACTAAGAGATTAACCAGATCATGCTTCTAGGGAGAAAATACCTGGGGCGCCACGATAGCCCAGGAGCAGCGGATTTCCCCATTTCGTACTGGGACAAAGTGCACTTGTGAATTTGGCCTCAGTTTTTGCCTTCCACGTACTCATAGCAACTCTCCACTACTGACAGGCAAACATCTTCACCATGGTAACAGCCCTTTCTGGCTCAGCCCTGGTCACCGTTTTAGCTTGTGACAGAGTGGTGGGTGCTGGTACTAAGGACAAGGAAAAAGTCAGGGTGATGAGTGGCATTGGGTGCAAACTATGTGAGGGTGTATAGACCTAAGACAGGGAGTCCTAAAGAAGAGAAGAGTGGAAAGACCGGAGCGGGCTCTGGAGTGCTCCCTGCCGTTCCTTTCAGGGACCACCGTCATTCCCAGGGAGAGAATGTTGGCTAGGGATGCAGGCAGTGGGATGCTATCAGGATACCGGAGAAGGCGCAATTGGCTTGTGTCTGTCAGCAATCACAGAAAAGTCTAACAAACCAAAAGGGAACCAGGAACCGACCTTCACTGCTGTTAGCTTCTTTAAAGCTGCAGTAGACCAAGCAAGCTACGGAGTTGAGCACACCGCCATTCTAATGCGGACCTGAATCTGGTCCTCTCCCAGTGTTGAGAGGATACAGCTGGTGGCTCAGACTTGCTGACATTCCCAGCTCTCCCTGGAATCCTCAGAGAAAGATGATGGAGACACAAAGTGTCATCCCAACCCCACTCCAGTCTCCAGAAAGCACAGCGCTCGACTGCATCCTGTTAGGGGAGGACGCAGGGGAAGGCACTTTCCCCATTTTATGGTTGGTGTCTGCTCTTCAGCCACAGCTGGTGTACCAGCCAGCTTTGCAGACCTCACTTGATGAAGGTCTTTCTCTAACTCCCAAACGGGCGTGGAAGTGCAGGCCCAGGCCGCCTCCATACGACCTGCAATTTTTCATTCCTACCTTCGGTTCATCGAGGATGCAGACTTTAGTATCCGCATTGCATCCAGCAATTGTATCCAGCTGTTGATACCAAGTTGCTAACAACCCTGCTGCTTTGCCTGTAACACAGAGAGCTGACTATAGACACGGGCAGGGAGTAGAATGTCACACCGTGGAGTCCCTGCCTAGAGTGAATCTTAGCTTTATCACCTGCCACAGACCTATCCCCTAAATTTCCCGGGACCTCAGTTCCCTTATCTGTAAGCCCAGGGTAATAAGGTCATGGCAAATCTGGCAGTATGTTTCCAGCTCTTAGCAAATTACATGATCATGTGAAGACTGTGCCAGTTAGGGTTTTTACTCCTTTTCCATAATTATTATTTTAAACAATATTTAGAGGTAGGCTTAGAGCAAGTGAGTGCTGTACATTTCAGAAAAAAAAAAACCTAAGTCAAATGCAAAAAAATTATAACTGGCTTAGGCTACCTACAAAATATATGCAAGTGGGCACAAGTGTGATCCTGTGTAAGTGAACTGGTATTAAATAAATGTACAGCCGGATTCCTCAGGCACATGTCTCATCTCAAGCTACTCATGTCCCGCGTGGCAGAGCCCTTGCACCCTGGGCAGCACAGAATCCGGATCTCGCCACCAGAGCAGGCTGCCACACTGGCTAGAACTGGTGAAGGTAGCTTTTACTCTCTGACTTCTGTCTCTGCAGAGGCTCCCATGATCACTAGCTACCCAAATGTGGGTCTTCTCTCCTTCCCTCGGGCCTTTTAAGAGGGATGGAGAAGGAAGGAAGACAGCGAGCTCCCACAAGCCACCTGCCAACACGTCTGCTAACCTGTGCTCACAAACGGAAAAGAAGCAGTTACTGCTGAAGGCACAGGTTCTTGCTCTTTGCCCAGGTACCAAGTCTGGTTGGGGGAACATGCTCCCACTCACCCAGTTATCGGCCCTGACTCAGAGCTTCCTGGGGACCGAGCCTGTGCCTTCTGACCTGCCCAGCTCTAACCAGTAGTGTGATTATCCAAAAACAGGACATGGACTCTTCAGTCAATCTCCCATTTGGAAACTGAAAATTAATGACGCTCATTTTCCCTCCATCTGCAGCACACCATCAATTTAGAATATACTCTGAGCAGAGAAAATTGCCAAGTCAACTTGCAATGAAATCACTCACACACCGAAAGATAAATTCGTCAGCCATGTTAAACTAAACCTCGAGGCACGCAGGTAGCCTGTATATTCACAAGCCTGCTGGATTCCCCCCAGACTTCCCAGAGCTCAGAGGCTGGGAACAGCTGAAGGAATCAGGCAGTGCAATCTTGAACGAGTGAATGTGTGGCTCAACAGCAAGTCCAGGGGCAGGGAGCCATGGCATGGCTGGAGGGAGATCAGAGAACAGAAACAGAGATAGAAGACACCCAATTACTGGGCCCGGTTCACTCACGGTATCTTCAACTGTGCGGTCTTTGTGAGGGCAAAGCCAAGCGCCGCCTGCCTGGAGCATGATATATTCCAGAGGAAGGAATAAAGGATGACGGCCTGCAGAGAGCCATTTGTTCAGATTTGGCCCCGTAGCCACACTACAGGCTGGTTGCCTCTTAAAGTGTCTGTCACTCCCTGGATGGTGAGACTAACTGGAAGTCACAACCTAGGAACTGGGAAGTCAGAGAATGTTTCCCAGGGAAAAATAACATGTTCCAGAATGGAACTGCTAACCACACCCACCTGCTGGCCCTGTACTCTGCCAGGCAGAGGGACTATTCTTGTCACAGCTCCCGGTGGGAGAATCAGTCTGTAGAACTGATGATGCTCTCCTGGGGACATCTGGTTAAACCAGGGCCACCAGGATCCTCGTCTGTTTCGCGACATTATCTCTGCCATGTTGAGCATCTCAGGTCAACCACACTGGGCTCTGCTCCCTCCCTGTGTCTACCTGGGCTTTCGTTGCTCAGCGTCCTCTGCTGTCCATGCAATGCATCTTTGTCTGCTCCAAAAGGACCAGAGATGACCCCTCCAGCAGTGCCCCGTCCTGGAGGCAGGAAGTGGTACGTACCTCCAGATATTTGCCCTCAGAGAAGACACTGGAAGTTGCCCTGGATTTTCCCATGTCCCTCACCTTCTCAATCCGTTGGCCACAAAAAATGTTTCTCTCACTGTCTCTACTGCCCATCGCCGTCCGCAACACCGCCATTGCTCACCACTGGGTTAGCCACAGCAGGCTCCTAACTGGTCTCCCTGGCTTACTCTCTACAACCTCCCAATCCAGAAGTCACAAAGAATCGGACACTGGGTCAAGTCACCCCACCGTGTGGCTACTTCTGAGGCTCTTGGTTGCTCTGTTGGCTGAGCCTATGTCAGTCGTTTAAGTGGCCTGCGGGATCAACCCACGGTCTTCCTGCTCTGGCCTTGCTGCCCATGCCACGTTTTACCTCAATGTCCCTAGACCCACTGTCTTGCCCACATCTCCCTCACATCTCAGCTTTAAGGTTATTTCTTTCCCAAGGTCTTCCGGCCCGGCGCCATCTCCCGCTTGATCTTAAGAGCATAAGAGAGAACTGTTAGCCCTCAGCATGGAATGCAGCCCGTTACCTGCTTGAAGGATGCTCTCATTACGTAGCTATTGATGGACTCTCATAACCCTCTCACTGCCTTTTGTAAACTGTAGTTTTTTCCATCTGTGAAATGGCAAAACGAAGCTTAGCTCCCGGCATCACTGCATGGAATATGATATCAGTAAAGCATAGCTCACAGCTACTGGCATGTAGCAGGGACTCATATCCCAACTGTCTGCATGGTATGATGGGATTTTATTGTTATGCTTTATTTTTAAGCCCGCGGAGATGCTGATGATATAAAGAATGGCATCTCCCCTCATTTATTTTACAGCTGTGCCAATAGAAGGCCAAGAGACTGGGGTTTCAGTTTCTGTGCCTTCTCCTAGTTGGGTAAGCCTTGCGATGGGTGAGTGGTATGACTTACCGGCACCCACATTCCCAGCCTTGTTGTAGGGGGTTATGTAGTAATTGTTCCAAATATATTTATGGAGAGAAAGCATGAATGATTGATTGAGCACATTGTGAGCACATTGCTTACAGAGTCCCCAGTCAAATGCTACACTAAGTGGTAGGATTGGGGGTTGGAGCTATGCTGCTATCTTTCAGGGTCGGTTCTGTGCCGGGAGGGTTGGGGGAAGCAGCCTCCTCGGATAGTCTAGGCTTGCGGGTAGCCAGCACTAATGAATGCAATTAATAAACCCGGTCAGACCTTCACCTGTAATGGAAACTCCTCCAGTGACACAGAGAGCAGCTGGCCCAGCAGTTCAGGATGGAGCGGGCAGAGAGAGAGAGGCTCTTGCCTTCATTAGCTTTTGGTGTGAGAGCAACGGCCATTCGGGAGGACTGCAGAGCAGCCTGCCTCGTGTCACATGTGCAGTCACTGGGGCTTCATTAGGGAAGAGAACAGTACCACTGCACATTATTCTACAACGCACAGAAAGCCAGCTTACTCCCCCAGGAAACCGGAGCGCTCAGGCAGGGAAGGGCCCAGGTAATGTGGCGCTCTCCCAGGGGACTTGTGTCTGTTTGCAAAATATGGCCAAACTGCAGTGAGCAGAGGAGGCTCTGAGGAAGCTAAGCAGCCCCGAGAGCCAATGCGGCCCCTTCCTGTTGCATGTCTTCTCACCTCCCCACCCGAGAGGCGCTGAGCTCTAACGGGGATGGAAGGTGCTGGAACCCAAGGCTTTCAATAGGAAGTGCATTAGGCGACTCGGATGGCTGAGGGAGGATGGGCGTGCTGTGGCCAGAGCTAGAGAGACAGGACCCCTCTCTCCGTGTCACCGCAGGTTAGGGCAACAAGGAGGATGAGCAATGACAGCTACTCCATCAGTATTACCTTGTGGGAAAGTTAGGGGAGCAGCTATCGGGAAGAGGCAGCCATGATGGCGTCTGCTCCCCATCTCCAGCCCGGCTGCTGGGCCCTGGGGGGGGCCCTATGGCCAGTGTTTCCCAGCTCCTCTCCTCTCCTCTCCCACAGACAACTCTAAGGCCTGGTGAAGAGCAGATGAAGAAGCTTTAGTGCATGCTGCAGTCTTGACAAAGGAGGAGCTAGGAAATTTTTTAAAAAATGCACCTGACAGGTGAGCCCATATCCTAAGTCCCGTCTCTGGTTATTACTGTGGCAGCTGAATGACGATGGCCATTCCAGAGGCTAGGTTCCAGAGACGGCACGTGCAGAGGCGTGGAGAACACTGGGGACACTTCCGGTGCGGGTGGTGACTGGAGGCACAGTCTTATTCAGGTCTGGTGCTAGCACCTGCCTGAGGGACAGGTGTGGCCCCGGCGCTGGGGTCCCCGTGTTAGCAGTCCTCACTGAAGCTGCCTTTGAGCACCCCCCCGGGGACGTCTGAGAATGGCAAATCCGACGTTACACAAGCATCCCAGGATGTCGGTACACCTCTGCCAGGGACCGATTCTCCTGGTTCCGCCCTTCACTGCGTGAAGTTCTCCAGCTCGAGAGCCCAAGTTAAAAACTACTCCACCTGCCACAGCCCTACCCCCTCCCACGCCGGCCCCTCAGATGCTTGGCTCAGGGCTCTGCAGAGGCTAATATGAAAACAATCTGGATTTAATTTAAACTTTAGTGCCTCAGAAGGTAATTAAAGAGTTGGGCCAGACTCAAGCTCTTTCTGGGAGCAAGCCGAGAGGCCTCTCCGCAATGGAGACCTGGTGCGATGGTCCTTTCCCGCTAATCTCCCCTCAGCCCTCCTAGGTGCTGTTGTGAATAATTACTTAATCAGAGCGGCTTTGGATCAATGAGCTCAGAGTGTTTGCAATTAGCAGCTTCTGCAGAAGGTCCAGCTGAGCCTTCTATCTGGTGACGATTAGATGCTGGAATAAGACTTCCCAGAGCCAGGATCTGAGCAAAGGGAAGGTTCCTTCTTAACCCACCCTGTCTAGGCTAGCTTCTCTCTCCCACCACCATGCTGCTGGTACCCAAGGGGCTCTAGACTCCCCTTCCTCCATGGGGACTGGATCCCTCGAGTTGTTGCCTATCTGGCATTTAGCAGGAGCTACGGTGCCTGAGGGATGGACTGGACGGCTGATGAGGAGATGCGGCAAGACCAGGGAGCTTGAAAGAAAGCGGAAGGCACGGCGGCTCCACAGCTCCCCTCGGAACGCAGCTCTGATAAACCGACAGGCAAATGAGTGAGCTGATGCTGCTTATTCAGCTCCTGCAGCAACAACGAAAGCCATTCTGCCACCAAGGGCTACCCAGAAGTCAGGAGAGAGGAAGTGGTTAGGAGGCCCAAGGAGCTGAGTATGGATTGCGGAGGAGGCTGCGGGCAGGGCCCTCTCCTCGCCAGAGTAATGGAGGTAAAGCAGAACCAGCTAGCACGGGTCTAAGAGGGATTGAAGCAGAGCAGTCCTCCACCACAGGCCAGTCACCTAGACCACAGGCGGTGGCGGCGGAGGCGGCGGCGGCGAGTCCCTGTTGTGTCCGTGGGCACGGAGTGACACTGTGACTGACCGCGTGGAAAAATTGTAAAGGCCAGACCCTACACATGATACTTGCCCAGGAATCATGTCATAACGCTGTGCAGTACGACCTGATTCTGTGTCTTTTTTGGAAGTTCCATCCCGCACCCCCCCCCCCCAGGTCCTACAGGGAGGGAGTAGAAACCCGGAGACTCACTCTCAGGCCTCCAGACTCAGGGTTCATCTGCTCCTACCCTACGTCACAACCCATGATCCCAATGGACCCTGCTCTGCTCTTCCCCAGAGTCCTCGCTGGCATGAGCAGCAGGCTTGGGGCCATGCTCCCTGTAGACTTCTGAATGCCAGCGCCCGGGAGACCAGTTGTTGTCAAACACCTGGCAGCTCCGGAGGAGCCCCTGCTTCCTTCTCTGTAAGTGGGGACCATCACAGCCCAGTCTTACTCTCAACTGATACAGAGTGCTGGGAGAATTAAGTCTCAAAACCAACAGGAAGGCACCACTCCTTTCTGAGCTGGGGGACTTTGGGAGCTAAAAACACCCACTCTTGAGAGACTAATATTGATGCTTCCAGTCACATGTGACTGTAAAGGGGGCTCCATGGAGACCCTTGTAAAGCGCACACTGTGGATCCCACTTCCAACTGGAGCTCACTTGATAGACCAGGCTGGGCTTAAGTTAAACCATGTCGCACATGATTCTCATTTTTGCCTTCCAGTGCCTAAAACATCAATATATATATGCATATTCTTACTCTTCCAGAAGGTATCGTTTTATGCAAAAACAGGAACAAGGAAGGAATTGAGGCTCTGTTATTCTAGAACTTGCTGATAAACCCCCCCTAAAAAGCCATCTTTGGGAGAGCTTCAAATATGGACTTTAAACTTGGAAGCAGATGAGTCAACTTATTAATGGTTCAACACGAAATCAAGGATGGATACACTTCCTGTTAAAGCCATTAAGGTTATTCTTGGTAACCTGGCTTGAGGAGGCTCCGTATCCCCTTGATTCTAATGATAATCCTTCATTTGGAAAAAGGAAATGTGTTTAGAATTTTTCCAACATTTGTAAATGTGCATTAGCGGAGCAACCCTTGTTTTCCCCTTGAATAACCTCGCAAGGAAAGTTAGCCAAATGAAATAAGCTTTGGAAACTTCGGAAGAAAATCCACAGCCTGTCTTATACTCCAAAGCAAAAACATACTATTGAATATGCAAAATGTTGGCTATAAACGCCAATTTTGCATTCAATTGTCTTTCCAGCAGGTGAGCCAGCATTTGCCTGGAGAGGAGATCTGGCACAGTTTGGCTGTGGCTATAGAAGACAATATACAACTGATTGTTGCGGTGAAGGATTTCATGGCCATCCAGATGTGTGAGCTGTCCCCAGAGAATAAAAACTGCTGGAGAAATGACAGCTGCTGTTCCCATTGAAAACAAGCAACGAGGTGCTCTCAGACAGGCAGTAAATGGCTTCAACCGGCATTCCTCAGGGTGCTGGAGTATAACATGCTCTGCTATAGTGCACACTACACAAGCAGATTTCCAGTCTATGAGGTAACATGCTCCAAACTGATCGGCTTAGGTCAAATGGTAACCTCAGACCTGTAAGTAGCTACAGTGACAGAACTCTGTTTTTGAGGGAGGGATAATTTATGAAGAATCCCCATTTAAAAAAAAACAAACAGTTCAACCTGCTCAAATTCAACATTCAAACCAAGGTATAGTTAATTTAGTTGTAAGAGCTAGTTAATAATAAGCCTGAGCTAATAGGCCAAACAGTTTGTGATTAATATTTAACCTCTGAGTGATTATTTTAGAAGTGGTTGCAGGACTGGCAGGCAGGACAGGAAAACTCAGCTCCAGTTACAGGCAACACGACAATCTCTCGTGACAAAGGTCCATAGTGGTATCTCCAGGTTCTGAGTCTACAGTAAGAGGACAGAGGCCCGAATTGGTATGAGATCCCAGGTAGGGGTCATTGAAATGCCTGAGCCTGTCACCTTCATTCAGTGACAAACCAGGGATAAATAAAGCAGGATCTAAGGAGGGACTGTCTGAGACTGAAAGATACCCAAGCTGGGTGCCTGGCTCACCCATCCTCTCTCCCTGCAGGTCAGCAACTCACTCTCAGCCTGTCCCCTCCCCAGGGTGTGAATGAGGACAGTGGCTTGGCATAAGGAGTAGCTGGCATCCAAGCCCCCACAGACCTCTCCTGGACTGTAGCTGACACAAAGATGAGATGTTGGCCACCGTCACTTCTATTTTGATCAAAATTGCCAGTCTAGAGGGCAAGTCCCTGCATGAGAAGACAGCAAGCAACTTCTGCCTTCCTGTCCACAGGAGATAAATGAGGTATACAGGGGAGCGTGGACTAGTTCACTTTCATTAAAGTGAGAGGGGGAGGGAAAGAGGGGGAGGGGGAGAGAGAGAGACTTTCTGGGTTTGAAAACCAGAAACCTCCCAGATGGAAGTGAAAACTAAAATTTCCATGAGAGTCTATAAAATGGTAACACAAACACAACGAAATAACAAAATGGCACAAGTTTGTCTCTCGGAGGCAAAGGGCTCCTTCCTAAAGTCACTCAGGCGTTGTGCTCAGCAGGAAGTAAGGATGTGGAGGGCAGGGGACAGATTACGTAGAAACCACACAGGAAGAAAAAGCACGCAGAAATGGGGGTGCATACTCGAGGCAGCAGAGCTCAGGTAACTCACAGATGAGTTATTTAACGTTGTGTGCAGGCAAGAGGCTCACCGCAAAGCACAGCTGGAGTGTAACGAGGACACTGTAAGTAGACTCAACAGTCATGGGGAAAGCCCTCTTAGGCCTGATTGCTTAACAGAAACAGGAAAGATAGGCCCACACAGAGGGACCATTTTTTAATTTAAATTAGAAACAAGCTTGTTTTACAAGTCAATCCCAATTCCCTCTCCTTCCCTTCCTCCCCTGCTTCCCACTGACACCCTATCCCATCCCCTTTCTGCTCCCCAGGGAGCGTGAGGCCTTCCATGGGGGATCTTCAAAATCTGTCACATCATTTGGAGCATGGCCTGTCCTCTCCCCTATGTGTCTAGGCTGAGAGTGTATCCCTCTATGTGGAGTGGGCTCCCAAAGTCCATTCGTATACTAGGGAAATACTGATCCACTACCAGAGGCCCCATAGACTGCCCAGGCTTCCTCACTGACACCCACATTCAGGGGGTCTAGATCTGTCCTATGGTGGTTTCCCAGCTATCAGTCTGGGGTCTATGAGCTCCCCCTTGTTCAGCTCAGCTGTTTCTGTGGGTTTCTCCAGCCTGGTCTTGACCCTTTTGCTCATCACTTCTCCCTCTCTGGATTCCAGGAGTTCAGCTCAGTGTTTAGCTGTGGGTGTCTGCCTCTGCTTCCATCAGCTACTGGATGAGGCTCTAGGATGGCATATAAGGTAGTCATCAATCTCATTATTGGGGAAGGGCATTTAAGGTAGCCTCTCCATTATTGATTAGATTGTTAGTTGTCATCCTTGTAGATCTCTGGACATTTCCAGAGGGACCATTTTTAAAGAAAGCAATATGTCTGTCCTGATAAGTTGGATGATTTCTGAAATTGTGAAGTCCATGGAGGATAGTTTGGTTACCCTCCCCCTAAGATTCCACTGTTCTTAGTGTATTAAAAAAAACCATAGGGATTGAGGGGAAAGCAGATAAAACCACCAGAGAACACCGGGCAGAAAACATGAACGTGAGGGCCACGTAAAAAACAGAAATTCAAACGAAACCATTGCCTTTGGAGAAAATAATAATAATAACAATGAAACAGAAAGACAGCAGTACATCCGAGAAGGGAGAAGACAGCAGGGATGAAGTCAAAACTGAAGGAAGAAGCAGAATGGACAGAAACTACAGTGAGCAGGAGGATGCTAGAGGGAATGCAGGGGCCAGCAGGACCAGGGGGAGGGATCGCTGCACACCAGAGAGTTAGGTGATAGCCCTGGAAGCAGAGGATAACTTCATGTAATAACTGACAGCCCTGAGGATACCAGGGAAACGTCAAACTGAGCGGACTGCAAATCCTGCTCTTTAAGTAAATCCCCTTATTTCCGCTCAGCCTACACGCTGAAGGCACAACGTGGGCGAAGGAAATGGCCTCTGGGCGGTCAATGCGAAGACCCACCTTAATCAAGTCATTGGACTTCCACGGTAAACGAAGTCAATACGGCAGCAGGAGACACACATCCCGGGAGCCTCTGAGAGGGGAAAGCACAGAGCTGCCCCCCAGATGTCAGCAACATCGAGGTGGGGAGGCAAAGCTATGAGTATGACTGAGGCACAGATAAAACCATTGAGAGATAGCAAGTCCAGTCATAGAAGGTTTCATACAGCAAAGCCCTTGGAGGATCAGTGTGGTGCCAAGTAGAAGACAGAAAGGAGGGGACCCTTAAAAAACAAGGAGGGTTAGGGAAAGAGTAAGAAAATCATCTGGGTTTTATCACTGTTTAAAGTGCTAACTTCCCTGTGGGGAATGTTAGTTAACACCCAAAATATCACTTACTCTGGAGAATCACAAGTTTAAGGTCCACCAAGGCTAAACAGGAATTGCAAAAACAACTCAAGTTACTTAAGAAAACAAGCAGCCGGGCAGTGGTGGCGCACACCTTTAATCCCAGCACTTGGGAACTAGAGGCAGGCGGATCTCTGTGAATTCAAGGCTAGCCTGATATACAGAGCAAGTTCCAGCACAGCTAGGGCTATTACACAGAGAAACCCTATCTCAAAGAAAGAAAGGAGGAGAGAAAGAGAAAAAAGGAAAAGAAAACAAGCAAGGAAACAATAACATCAATGTTATCAAACTTAACTTCTATAGCAATAAATGTAAATGAGCTAAATTCATCTCTCAAAAGGATAAAAGTGCATTTCTAACCATGTCACAAAGACAAATTTAGCTAGATACCAATGACAAAATATTTAACAGAATTGAAGGGATGCAGAAAGACTATCAGATGTTTTCATTATAAAAATGGACCATGGAACTCAAGGATCATTTGTGGTGAAGAGTACAAGGCCCCATACTACTGTGCTGTCTGAGATAGCAAAACTCGGGAAACCATTCCAATACCCCACTGCAAGTTGGTTATAATACACACACCCATTGCAGTCAATACAGTTAATTGTATGGTGTGCAGGACTCTTGGAGACATGAGGCTTTAAAAAGGAATCGGCATTCCGGGTGTGTCATATAGGATCCTTGTCTGTGTTTGCTTCTGCAATGCAACAAGAATCTACTACGGGCTGGAGAGATAGCTCACCAGTTATGAGAACTTACTGCTCTTGCAGTGAGTTCAGTTCCCAGCGTCCATACAGTGGCTCACAACAGTCTGTAACTCCACGGGACCCAATGCGCCTTTCTGGCTGTGTGGTCACTATATGTACATGATGTATGTACAGACACATGTCCAGGACAAGCTACAACACGTCTTTCTCTGTTCCACTAGCTATCTCCTAGATAATGACTTGGAAATGTATTAATTATGAAAGCTTGGCCTATTGCTTAGGCTTGTTTCTAACTAGTTCTTATAACTTAATACTTTTCTTTTTTTAATTATTTTTTACACTCCAATCCCAGTTCCCCTTCCCTTTTCTCCCATTCCCTACACTTCCCACTCCTCCCGTTGTCTCCACAGAGAGGGTAAGGCCTCCCCTAGGAAGTCTACTAAGTCTGTCCCATCATCTAGTTAAGGCAGGGCCAAGGCACCTCTCTGCCCGACACCCCTGTGTTTAGGCTGGTCAAGGTGTCTCTCCATATAGAATGGTCTCCACTAAGTCAGTTTGTGCATTAGTGTAAGATCTTGGACCCACTGCCAGTGGCCTCATATATTGTCCCAGCCACACCATTGTCACCTATATTAAGGGAGTCTAGCTCAGTCTCATGCAGGTTCCCCATTTGTCAGACCTGAGTCAGTGATCTCTCACTAGCTTGGGTCAGCTGATTGTGTGGGTTTCCCCATCATGGTCTTGACTCCTTTGTTCATATTATCACTCCTCCCTTGCTTTGATTGTACTCCAGGAGGTTGGCCCAATGGTTAGCTGTGGATTTCTGCATCTGCTTCCATCTGTTTCTGGAAGAGGGTTCAAGCCTTTCTGGGGTTATGAATTGTAGGCCAGGTATCTTTTGCTTTATGTCTGGTATCCACTTATGAGTGAGTACATACTGTATTTGTCTTTCTGGTTTTGAAATTAACCCATTTTTATTAATCTACATTCTGTCATGTACTGCCTATCCTTCCTCCATGTCTCCTCACATGTTTCTCTCACATATCCAGAATCCTGCTCCTACTCGCTCTCTCTGCCTGGAAGTCCCACCTATACCTCCTGCCTAGCTATTGGCCATTCAGCCTTTATTACACTAATCACAGCAACATACCCTCACACAGTGTGCAAACATCCCACAGCATAAAACATTCATATACACAAAATAAAGATAATTTTTTGGCAATAAAGCAAGATGCAAGTGATGAAGGGAGAAATGGTAAAAAAAAATGCACAGGGTGGTGAGCTTTAATTTGGGATGGCTATTGCCAAAAATTTATTTAAAATTTTGTGTATACGAATGTTTTTTGTCCTAAGATATTTACAGAAGGAAAGGGAAGGTGGTGGAAAAACATTATGGATGTTTGGGAAAGCTGCAAAGAATATTGTTTAACCTACAATTACAGATAGTGTATATATGTATATATATAAGTAGATAGATAGATAGATAGATAGATAGAATTTAAATGAAGTTATATCACTTGGGCTGACAATGCCCCCCATCCCCACCCGAAGAGTCATAGAGTATCTGAGAAAAACGTCTGGGCCAGGACAGGAGGAACCTCCTCTTGAGCTGTCAGTCACAGGAGAATAAGAGACGCCCTGTACAGTGTAGGCTATTGCTGTGGCGCTTCCCTGCCTCCCAGGGGTGGCGGGCAGGCCCCTATTGCTGAGGACACCATCCACTTCAGACACAGGACTCAAGAGCGCTGAGCTGGAATGGACCCGGAGACCCCTCCTGAGCACTAGCTTCCATAGTACCAGGAGTTGCTGTGCAAAGCTTCCAAGGGAGGGAAGCAACCAATTGCCCTGTCTAGCTGATACCCAGGAGCAATGACCAGCATGGCAAGGTGCCCCTGGGGGCAATAGTAGCACTCTTACCTTGGCAGTAAACAAAGATGTCTAATTGGACTTAAGGCCCATGCAGCAGGAGAGAAATCATGCCTGGTATTAGAAACTGAACCAACTACCTGGGCCCAGTGAGTTCATGGATATGCTACCACTTTAACTAAAACCACATAATCCCTAACAACATTCTAAATACCTGTCCTTATTTATACCCACAGATAAATGCGGTTCTCACTCATCAAAGAAGCCCCTCTTTACAATAGATAGAGACCATTGAAGAAGACACAGCTGGTACAGAGGAGTAGAACCTGTTGTGGGATGTCCAGCCTGATCGATACATCTACAATACAACTCCTACATCTTAAACCTCAAGAAACATCGCAGAACAGGAGCCAGAAAGACTGCAAGAGCCAAAGGACCAGGAAAACTGCTGACTGGGTGTGTCTCCTAGACATGACAGGGAAGCTTCCCGTGATACCCAAAGACATGGCTACCGAATAAAAGACGACACCAACGGACACTCTAAAACGGAAGGGGGAGTCTCACAGGGCTTCATCTGAAAACCAACTATAGGCAACCAGTGTCAACTGCAAGATGGAATATTAGTCCTTCCATGGGTGAGTCACCTAACGGATTTTCTTCCTGAAATCATGTGCATACATATGTAATAATAACAATTAAAGGAAAAGGTCATGAATCTGAGAGAGAACAAGAAGGGGCAAAGGGGAGACGAAGGGAAGAGAAAGAAGAGAGGAGTGATGTAGCTGAATTTTAAAATCTCACCTTTTTAAATTACAAAATAAATCTTTGGAAAAAAAGAAACTATTCAAGGATACATGAAAATTAGTTATGGCAGTTTATTTTGGGGCAGGAGCCAGGAGCTAGACCACTTGGAGAATGCCTGTATTCCTTTTGTGTGTGATGTAAATACACAGCATCAAAACCATGACACCGCCTTGTCTATCTCCCTCAGGAAGCCACCTGCTCCCTGAATCAAGGGACTGTGTGTTGCACTCAGTCATCTCTTCAAACCTGAGCTCAAGATCTGAAGTAGCCATTGTGGCTGGTTGGGCTTTACTGGAGAGTAAATTAATGGATGAACAAATGCAGTATAGGACAATAGGAAGGATGAAGCTTGGGTTAGGACTGAAAGGGACTTCTTATCTGCAACTCAAGGCAGCTTGCATCTATCCACCTATCCATCTACCCATCCATCTCATGCTTACACGCTGATACTTGCTTTTGAACCCAGAGGGTGACATAATCCCTAAATGGAGGAACTCTTACTCCAAACAATCTGTGTGCTGTTCTTCATTGGGGGCAAGTCTCAATTGATTCCAGCACTCCCTAAGCCACTCTGGGGAATACAGAGATGATGAAGACACAGCCCTCGCTTGGCGCCTAGTATTCACTCTCCTGATCTGTAAAACGGGGGCAGGCATCTTCCCCACACCAAAATTGTGGTGTTGTAATGATGAACTAAAGTGCTCCCCCAGAGGGGTCCTGACTGGGACCCCGGGCTCGCATCAGATTATTCTTACGTGAGAATCTCAGCCCACCCTGTAGGAAGCTGGATGCATCCCCACAACCCAGTACACAGAGTCCCACTTCTCTGAGCTGTATCACAAGGGCCACCCTTCTGGGTAGGAAGAGCGCTTGCTGCAGGGCACCTGACGTACACCTAGGTCCCAGCAGACTGCCTGGCTAAAAGTAGACATCAGTGGGTTTGCAAAAGGCATAATGGGAAAAAACCTGAACATTTTTAGTGAAGTGAGAACCGTTCCACCACTGCAAAAGTACTAATAAAACACACGGTGAATTAACTGAAGCAGTGGCTGACCAGCAGGTCCCTTCAAGATCAAAATGGAGAGCTAAAGTCAGGGGACACTCTCCCTGCCAAACAGCAAATGGACTTGAAGGGGACCAGTGAACAGAGAGAAGCACATATGGATGAAGATATTTTGTCTCAGCCAATGCCTCAGGGTGGCCTTTTGTCTCCGCTACATATTTGACCCATTTGGACTCAGGACCAAAGGATTCACACCAATGTGCCTTGAACCCAGAAAGGAAAGAGAAGCTCTGAGCATCTGACCATAAACACTGTCACACCGACTCCCTAGGCTTTGAACAAAGGAAAGACCAGGACACCTGTCATTTCTCAGTGGGTTCAGGGTCTCCCATGTTTAACCTAGATCTACTGTTGTTACCAGCTGGGGTTACCCCCACTGCTAACACTTGAGACCTAGCCCTCCCCTGCAGCAGCCTGGGAGACCCCTGCGATCTCTGCTTTGTCTGCCTTGAGTGATTGCAGGGCACTAGAGCTCCCTCGCACCTGGCTTCCTTCAGAGCTGGCTTCTCGTTGCTGTCTGGGTAGTTAGCACTGTGTAATTTAGTTTGCCGGTGTCTCTGCAAGCTTATTTGAAAACCATGGAAGACTGCTTACAGAAAATTAAGCTTCATTTTCTTTAAGCATCCAGCCAACAGTGCAGGCAGGGGATGGTGATGTGGAGATAACTGGTTTCTGCATATGTAAACATGATGCATTTAGCAAATTACGCAGACTTCACACTTCAGAGCATTGAAGAAAACAAAGGTGTCTTCCAGGACAACTTCAGCGCAATAGAGCCATTCTGAAAGGGATGCAGAATTATTGGCTTGTAAGAAGAATGGAGCTCAGACAGGGATGGAAAATAACAGTTTATAGTGTGAAGCATGGGCAGAAACAAGAATTGGAACAGGTCTAATTTTAAGTGGTTTTATGGCAACTCTAAGGACTCCTAGGAATTATAGATTGTACGTGTTTTGAGATTGAATTCACAGTAGGAAGAGGTTGTACACTTCAGACTCAATTCCACTATGACTCCTTGAGCTTCACACAATTTCCCAGTACATGTTTTTCTCCTTGGGCCCAGAGAGATAAATTCTAGGTCTGCCCTAAGCTAAAAAGCATTTTGATAGGAAAAGCAGTCCTGCAATCTATGGGATTTTGTTTCCATTCTCCACCAGGACCCGTTACCCCAGTCCCTTCTCCTACCTCATCACCCACAAATTATGCCTGGAAGTGTAATTAAAAGCTTTGCCCTGGTAAAAGTAACTGTTGGTAGCCAACACCGCAGACCCAGAGAGGAACCTGCAGGAGAGGAACCTGCAGGAGAGAAACCTGATAGGAGAGGAACCTGATAGGAGAGGAACCTGCAGGAGAGGAACCTGCAGGAGAGGAACCTGATAGGAGAGGAACCTGCAGGAGAGGAACCTGATGCTTGTAACCCTACATCTAAAGGGCAGCGGTCAGCAGCAGCTGCTGGCTTGAGGGTCTGGATGGTATCGAGGCAGCATGGCTTGTCTTGTTTTCTAGAACTGACGCCACGAATGCCCTGATGCCCCAAGAGCTGATATGCATGGGACGTCTACTGCCACCAACACCTATGCTAGTCCTTGGCGTCTTTGTTCTCCCCACTTAATGCTAGTGACAACCGCTCAGTGTCCTCGTTATTATTCCTGTTTTACAGATGTGGACACTAGGCTGAAGGAGGCTAAGTGAGTTTTTTTTTCTGGCTGCCACCGAGGGCTCATTTAATGACAGGCACTAAACACACGGACACGACCTCGCTGAAGCATCAGACCAGCGCTGCCAAGGTGTGAAATGTAATATATCCGCTGCAGGCCACGAACCCAAGGGAGTCACGTGACCGGCCGGTGCACGTCACACGCTGGTGTAAGGAGGACCAGCCATCTCACTCAAGGCTAGGACACAGACATGTCAGTTCTACTACATCCTACATTCCCCCATTTAAAGAGGGGCTTTTGTCTAAGTGAGGGTTTCTGTTGCTGTGAAAGAACACCACACCCAAAAGCAGCTTGGGGAGGAAAGGGTTTATTGTAGCCTACAACTCTCGGGTCGCTCTCCATCACTGAGAGAAGTCAGGACAAGCACTGGAGGCAGGAATTGAAGCAGCTGCTCACTGGCTCCCTGCAGCTTGCTCAGTCTGCTTTTTTCTACAGCTTGGAAGCACCTGCCTAGGGGATGGCACCGCCCACAGTGGGATGGGCCCTCCTGCATCCATGGTAAATCAAGAAAATGCCCCCATAGACTTGCCCATAGGCCAACCTGATGGAGACACTTTTTAAGTTGAGAGTGCTTCTCCCTAAAGGACTCTGGCTTGGGTCAAGTTGACATAGAACTAGTCACCACAGTCCTCTGAGTCAGCAATTCGAGGACACCAGAGAGAAGTTCTTGGAGCAGCCAGAAGTCATGCCGACCTTGAGGTGGTACAGAGTTCCTCTCCACTTCTTCCTCCCAAGATCTCGGCAGTGTGTGCGTGTGTGAGTGACTGTGTGTGTGAGCACGTAAGCATGTACACACACTCATACTTCCTCTACATTTCTTCCTCCCAAGATCTCGGCAGTGTGCGTATGTGTGGAGTCTGTGGCTGCACAGAGAAGGAACAGCTGGGAGCCCACATCCTGAGTACAACCATGAGGCAGAGAGTAAGCTCTGGGAATCCCACTTTTGGAACCTCAAAGCTCAACCCCTGACACACCTCTTTCACCAAGGCCACACCTCCTACCCTTCCTAAACAGTTCCACCAACGGGGGGGGGGGGCATGTATTCCAACCCATGAGCCCACAGGGCCCATTCCCACCCAAACCAGCGCCGCAGCAACTGCTTAACTTTAGTTGACGCTTTTCTGATTTATATAACTAGAGCAGCAGTCTTTGGAATGGTCTCCTGCTGTCCCAAGGAACAGGCTGAGAAATGGGATCCTAGAGGGGATCCGTCCTACAATCTATGTGTCATCCAGATACCGACCTCTCTATCCAGGAATTTGCTCTCTCAAATGCCAATGAAAGAAATGACTTTTCCTAGGTCTGTATCTCCTGCAAATGTTTCTAGATTATAAGTCAATGAAGCACTCTTCTCAATCTGGATACAGGATCACTAGATCATAGTTAAATGCTTATGATGCATGAGGCACAGTTCTTTTCTCTGTCACAGCTGCCAATATTTTTGGGGCTGTGTTTTTTGCTTGAGAGTTTTTTCTCAGTAGCCATGTCATCAAGACTGAATATCATTTAGGTGGCTGGGACAGCCATAGCCTAGTACCATGGGACCAGCATACAACTGATCAGTCAGCCAGGGCTCTTACACCAATTTCTGTTTACCCTTTATCCCTCAGCCATATGCCAATCATAATGTAAGCTAAAGACATTCAGACTCACGAACCCATCCTTGCCAAGTCGTGAATGAGCAGGGTTTTGGTACATGGCCATTTGAAACCTTCCAGGAAACAAGGCCTGAGACTTATCTACCTAAAGAGCTCCCTAAGACTGTGCTGTCCTGATTGTAAGTGTTCAGAGCCTGAGAGGTCTGTGAGGAACAGAGACTGTCTGTGACAATACGCCAGAGCTTATCACCTGTAATGGGATGTGTACCTAGCTAAGACTTAGTAATCCAATTTTATATCTCCAGGGGTATTAGGATCCTGGCAGGCACACATTCCTAAGAGGGTCTGAATACTCATCTTTTATTTATTTTGTGTTTGTAATCCTGTGTAATGGTATGGAAGCCCCAGTGACTCCAACAGAAAGGGCCGAGCATCTGACTTCACCAGTGTGCATGCAGCAAGGGTCCTCTGAGGAGGACTGGTGGGTGAAAGGCCAAGTTCATCAGCAGGTGACAGATTTGCTCCTGGGGAATGAAGCCGGAGCAAACGCAAAGGTTCTCTGCGTAAAAACGGCCTCTGAGAGCCTAATTTTTCTGCTTTCACCAAGAGGTGTCTGAGGCAGCCACAGAGAAGAATTACAGCATGGCCATTGCATTAGGGTTGGAAAAGACAAACAGTCCTACTTCCTGCAAGGCAGAGCTGGGACACAGACACTTGCATTGCCAACATCCATATTCACGCCGAGGGCCCATTTCCCACACACCTCTCCTCTCCCAGATAGCTGTCTCGGGCATTCCAAGCACGCAACGAAGCACAGGCAGAGCCCCGTAAAGCCTGTACCCAATGATATAAACCCCTTGCCAGAGCTCTGCATGGAAGACAATTGGGTCCCGCGTGCTGCATGCTCAATAAAATGCTCTACAGAGGGGGTTCTTGGCCACCCCGGGGCACTCAGCTCCCCAGGAGATGACAGGCTTGTTCTGGACCACAGGTGTCACCCGCCCTCCCCAGAGGCAGGGGGCAAAGGGGAAGGAGAGCAGAACCGTTTGTGGCGCCACACTTATCAGGGCACCGTTTCCAAAGGCCTGGGCGTGGATTGCTGGGCAGTGACAGGCAGCTTTGAAGGGAATGCCATTGAGCCCCAAGGACAGCAGGGAGAAAGAAAACATTCCATGTATTGAACACACAGTTCAGAGTCTAAAGGATAAGCTCATTGAGATGGCTCAGGCCTGGTGGTTCAGTTTTACTGCTGAAAGGAAGAGATCTCCTCACTCTCCACCCCCCCAACCCCCGCCATGGCAGGCTGACAAAGTTGGAGGCATATGATTCTCTGGGACAAAGCTGCCCTCACTGCTATACAGGAGCAGCCGCAACTCCGCGCTTTCCTCTCCCTGGACATTTGTGATTGTGACCCTCACTCCCAACCTGCTGGTCTCTCTTTGGTGCTCATGCAGATACAGCCAAAGTGGCATCCCCGTGTCCCCCCACTGCTAGGCAGAATACTGACAGCCATAGCCAGGTGACACCTCCAGCAGGAAGTCAGGGGCCACCAGGACGCTGTTCTCTGCTTTAACAACACCACTTGGGACTCTTTGCTAAGTAAGTGAAGAACAAACTTGTATCTGTGAGTTCAAATCCAAGCAGTAGCCTCAAAATAAGCAGACCAGAAATATGGAAAATATGTCATACTCCAAGTAGAAATTAAATTGCTGGGCTTTGGAAAATTAGACACCACCGCTGTGTACTAACAGTTCCACCAGCTGTAAACACAAAGGCTTCATCTAGTCATCACACAGAGGGGCAGGAGCTGGAAACACATGCACCGCACACACGTGTTGGAGGTCAGAGGTCAATGCTGGGCAGCTTCCTCTGTTGCCTCCTCACCCCTTATTTTCTTAATTTTAACTTTATTTTCTACATGTATGGGTATTTTGCCTGCATGTATGTCCAAGTACCCCTTGGGTCAGAAAGGGCATCAGATCCCCTGGAACTAGACTTCCAGATGGTTGTGAGCTGCCGTGTGGGTGCTGGGAATTGAACCCAGGTCCTCTGGAAGAGCAGCCAGTGCTCTCAACTGCTGAGCCATCTCTCCAGCCCCGCGACCTTGTCCTTAGAGACAGGGTCTTGCACTGAACCTGGAGTTCCCCGTTTCAGCTAGACCACCTTGCCAGCAAGACCCAGGGATCCACCGTCTCTACCACAAGTGTCAGCGCCAGGACTGCAGAGGCTATGGCAGAGCCCAAGTCAACTTGAGTGAGACTTGTCTCAAAAAGCAAGCGGTCCGAAACAGATAGGACTGATGCACACACAAAGTCAAAGCAGTTTCGGTTACCTACACAAGGTCTGTGCAAGGTCAAGCCAGTTAAAAATATCGGGATGGTGTAGGAGGGGCTGCTGAAACCTATCCCTGACTGAGGAGTGATGGGCACATGATGGGTGCTGGGGGAGGTAGAGCCACTGTCTTTGGGGACTGGCCACTGGTAGGAAGCCCATTTCAGAGTGGAGGACCCCGCATCTGATCACATATAGGCAGCACAAAATTAGACTCAGTGGGTTAAAAGAACATAACAACAACAATAATAATAATAATACAGATTTCAAAAGAGGACATGAAGTTGGGAGGGAGACATATTAGGGGTTCATGGTGAATGTTGGAGCTCGTGGTGAATATTGGGGGATAACTAGGGGTTAACATGACTAAGACACATTGTCTACATGAATGAAATTATCAAGGAATGAACATTATAAAAAGCAGTAATATTAATAAAATGAACTCTGAAACTAAAAGGTGTATGTTCACGGAAAGCCTTGGGACAGACTCTCACACTGTGCAACTGTGAGCATCGGCTGCAATCGCACTGAAACAACAGGAGTCTGAAACTCACTCAAACCGCAGTCAAGTTCCCAAAGCCAAA